TCGCTGAACAGGAATTCGAACCCAGGCCCCCTGAGTCCCAATCTGCCACTCGATCCATTACCCCACACTGGGTATCTGACATGTAGAGAATGCCAAACAGCTGGAAAAGGGCACTCAAAATCACAAGCTGTTCCTTCATGTTCCTTAAAAAGTGATCATTATGCCAGCTAGTCTGTCAAAAGTTACCAAGTTCCCAGCACGAAAAAGCTCATTATATGCTCATCTCAAAAACTGACTCGAGTTCACGCTTTTGCTGCATTAAGAGGAATATCCGTGGGAGCAACAGAAAGATGTCACAACAGACTCAGGGCAGAAACAGATGTTAACAGTGCATTAGTACTGGAAAGAGCTGAAAGTCTTTGGCCAGAATCTCATTGATTGGCGTCTGCATGCAGGTTGCATAACATCCCATGGCTAATTGCAGCTAGCTAGTTGATGAGACGCTGAGTCATAAGCGGGATGCACCCCGACAGCTCATCAGTTATTCACAATTAGCTGTGACAAGTTAAGCAAAACCCTATGTGAACACCCTTAGGATTCCAGTCTTTGAGAAATCAAAGACTGATTCAAAGGGATCCTGTGCTTAAGCCATGAACCTTATCACACAACAAAGCAACGACGCTTGCAGATTACATAAGCTACTTTGCTCTGCACTCAGACGCTTTCAGCAGTGACAGAATTTCCTATTCTAATCATTGGCTTTCTTTAACGTCTATTCCTGCCCTCATACTATTGCAGGAAGAGACCATTGTTTTGTGATGCATGTTGGATCTCTCAGTGTCTCTAGTACAGGAAGAGTGATCAGGTAACCCATGGGATACATACATGCCTAAGGTTATTTTTGTTGACTCTCGACCCGCTCCCCCCCAAAAAAACCTTTCCATTTACATTCCTCCAATCCTCTGGGAAAGGCAATTCAGAGGTTGCAAGGAGACACACACCTTTTAGTTTTGAAAAAAAAACCTCTTCTAAACCAGAAGCAGATTTCTGTCTACTGCTGGTTTTATTTCTATTATTTACCCATTTTGTAAATTTTGGTGGACTCAGTGTGATCCCCTCCGTGTATTTTTCTTTCCCAGCTTACAGACCCAGAAATGTTTGCATTTCCAAGCATAAAATCACAACTCTTTCCACTTTCCATCCAGGAGGCACAGATCAGGAAAAAAAAATTCTTAAAAAACTCACTACAATGAATTCCTCACGCACGCTAATAAACACCCGATACGTACAGCCCACACTTTCTCTGTGTCTCTGTCTCTAAAGTTCTCAGCATCTAAGTTTCAGGTGGACAGCAGGGATCCTGCATTAAATCTTTCTTTTTGCAAAACCCTTGAAAGATCTTACCCTGTCTTGACATTGAGTGGTGTCTGTGTTTCACCTCCAGCTGCTAAATAAACAGTGTCTTTAAACTGTGATAAACCTTGGATATTACCTTGGAAGCAACACTGCTATTTGCAACAGGTCTTGCTCTCATTTTAAGCCCATGAGAGCTTGTAGACTTAGTTTGTCTTGACAACTAGCAATTGTTTCAAAATCCCTACAGTTCAGTGGTTTAGGTCTCTGGCTGCAACATCTTAGGAGAGAATGGTCCACCACTTCTGAGCATTCTCTACCCGAAAAACTCTGAAAAAAGGCTCACCAGGAGTCAGAATTAACTTGACAGCATGCAATTATTATTGATTTTCCATTGCTGGATTGTAAGGGTGACTTTCACTGAATTTACATCAGAACCAGTTTAAACTTTGAAACTATCATGTTGGACTAAGAGGCTCAGGATTCTGTGAAGGACACTGAGATCTCAGCTCCCCAAAATATACTTTTTTTGAGGTTCCCTGGGACAAGGATGAATCCATCACGATTTCAAACTCTCTAGAAAGATTGATCCTGGTACAGTTAAAACATGACCATCACTCATTTGGCAAACAAACAAACCATTTCTGAATTGAAAGAGAAAGCGAGGGGAGCCATGTATTCCTTGCGTGAAACTGGAAGACAAGAGGGGGGTGGTTAAATGCCGGAATAAGACCATGAGTCAAAAACTAGCTCCTATTTTGTAAACTGAAAGCTCACAGAGCTGATGCTTTTCTCCAGATGTCCTATGAACCATTATTTTAAGTCCCATTCTAGAAATTTGCACAGATGGCATCGCAGAGGTACCATACGCTGAACAGGCGAGGGCTGAGCTTCCACCAAGCATGTTCAAACAAACTGTATTTAAATACTTCCAATTAAAAGTAAATACAAGAAGGAAAGTGATTTCAAACACTGCATGGTCTTCTGGATACGGAACGCTTGCAAGAGTAACTTCCCCTGTCTAGGCCTCCTCAGTTTTTACGGAGCAGATGTGTATCATGTACCCTTGACTTTACAAAGATGGCCAACAGGGCTTGGACAAGTTACTGTGTGTCTAAGAGGTCAGGTTGGGTGGGTGATTTAGGATGTTCTAGCCCACCCCAAAAAGTAACTTATCTCAGCTCTAATTGGTTTTCCCCAGTAGTGGCCTTGAAACAGCTGGGATTGACAACTGGATTTAGCCCTCTTTCTCTAAAATGGAAAGCCATTGGCTTTGAGGACTCTGTGCTCCAACAGGGCCGGCCCTTCCATTAGGTAGTGTGAGGAGGCTACCTCCATCAGCAAATCTGGGGTGTCCTGAAAGGGGAGAACATTGCTTACCATTTAATTTATTATTTTTGTAGTTTCATTGTTCCAGATGAAAGGTAGTGGAGGGATTATCAGCTGCATAGGCTGATGCTGGGTGCTATAAACCTAAACTCATCTGTATGTGTGTGTGTGTTGATGTGCATCACACCATTCCCATTATGCCTCAGGCAGCAATATATCTGCAGCAGCCTCTGATCTGCCAATGACAAATCACTCAGCCCAGAGACAGTTTTATGTGGAGATAGATCAAAAAGGAGTGGGGGAGAGAAAGAGTGCAAATTAGACTCTCTCTCTCTCTCTCTCTCTCTCTCATTTCCATAACTTCCAGTTTTGCCTGCCAAATGGATACAACCATAGCAGATCTCACTAAATCGCGAAGTAATTACACAGTCCCACACTTTGTTTAGCATTTACATTTTAGTGCCTAATTACTGAGGATAGTTTATGAGCTTCCCTGCAACAGCAAGTAATTGCCACATGTCTCCAATGCAAGAAACAAACTATCAGCATTCTTTTCAAGATGTGCACGATAAAGACCAATTAAAAATGCTTACACAAGGACTTTGTAAGTAAAAAAGAGGACTGGGGTGAAGATTTTAATGAAATGAATCCAATATGCCAGTTTTAGAACTTTGCATATGCATTTGCTTTAAAAATAGGAAAGACAACATTCACAACATTCACGCAGGGCCTCAAGAGGACTAAAGAGGATCTTCCTTCTGATAACGTGGATTTATCATGTTTAGCACCACGCAAGGCGGCAGTTGGAGAGCAAGAAATGCAGCTGGCCTTGAAGGCATATCAAAGCTTTCCTCTGAATCAAAAAGCAATTTTTCTTCCCCCCCCTCCTCCCAAGAATGTGAGACCAGAAGCTAAGAAATGCATTCCGTAAATCCTAATCAAAGTCAGACTACATAGGGTGGAAATTGTGTTTTTGAGAGAAATGTGGCCCGAGGTTCTGAATCCAGGACAATTTTTGTCTTCATTGCAATCTTCCTGCCTTTTACAAGAAACTGGCAAGTTCAATAAGGATCAGGTGTGGCTTCAGAGAATGGCTCGGTGTTGTACCTTCGGCGGGAAAATTGTGTTTTTTCATTTCCCTCCCCCCATTTTCTCCTTTTACCGTTTTTAGACTGAAATAACCTGCAACCTGGATGACCTGCAATAAGAAACACCTTTTGCTTCCTTTTGTTGAAAAAAAAAAAGATTTTGATGTTTTGTTTTCACACCAAGGGCAAATTATGGGCCATCCATACAATATTCTCCACTGCGTGGATTTTTAGGTTTATCCTAGCAATTCAATTGTTTAACCCTTTTGTTTGGATGCCGGAGGTCCCCTACATTCACGATCCAAAGTCCTAACAGTTCATAGATCAAGACTAGAGCAGACAGGCCAAGCAAAATTGATCTTCCACAACCATTATTATTTGCTATCAAATGCCACCTAAAACAACAGTACCATGGAAACACGCCTGTATCCTTACTAAAATAAACCCATCTAGGCCACTCCCATACAGACAGTGCCATCCTGAACACATCTCCGAGAGAGAGAGAATCCTAGCTGAATAAGAGGCCATCTGACCGCCAGACCACTCTGGGCCATTTATAATAGATAAACAAACAACAGAATAACAAAATAATACGTTCTCAGTACAATTGGAGCATAAATCAAATATCATAAAGTGCAGTGAAAACAAATACAATATAATACATTGCAATCAAAAGCATAGAATATAAAAAACAAGAAGCATGGCAGAGTGGTGCATGATATTATGGGGCAATGTTCTGAGTTCAGATCCACCAAACTGCCTATTTAGTGAAGGTAGGGCTTTGTGGCTGACTCCAAGGGCTAGCTCTGTTGAGGGTTCACATGCCTTGTTGGATCTTCAAGGGTCCCTAAACCTCCCAATCCTTATTTTTTAAAAAAACTCAAGGTCCTTTGTCTCTCCCCCTTCCAGGAATGGGGGCAGTTTTACTATGTTTTTGTCCTCCTGGCCTATTTCGGGTCAATGATGATGGCTGCTTCTATTTTTTTGCTCTCTCTCTCTCTCTTTTTGGTAAATTGATCCATTGGGATTTATGGGGATTCAGTGGTGCAGGATATTCACCCTGCAGCTCCTGGAATCTGCCTAAAGGCTGTGGTCTTTAGGCTTTGTGCACCCTGGAGAGTGGCCAGCAGCTCCATCTCATTTGAATGTTTTTGAAAACAATAGGTTTTTGAACCGAGTCAAGAAATGGATCTAGTGAAGCCATTTTGAGAAAGAAAGCACACACTCTTGGCAATGGGGAAAACATGAGTTTCCTGCCCATGGGTGTACACACCAGAAAACAGCACTCACCCGTTTGGTGTAACCCATGGCCTTCAGAATGGAAAGGTTGAGCGTCTCCAGCGAAGCCAAAACATCCTCGTAGTCTCCCATGTGGTCAGTAAAATAATCTGGAAAGCCAAGGATTCAGAGAAGAGGAAGGTTGGAGAGAAGAAGAAAAGATGGTTTCAGTGGTGGGTCTGCTCCAAGCCTGCTACCAAGTAATGCTGGAAATGCCGGCAGATGATATGACAAATTGCAACGACCCAGTTAAGTGGAGGGTCCTGGCCCTCCACCTGCAAAGTATAAAGGAAATATGGTAGCAATAAAAGATGTAAAGCCAAAGGGGCCTTGGAGGTCATCAAGTCCAACCTTCTGCTCAACGAAGGCAATTCAGGGCCAGAGGATGCCTTTGTCCAGCCTACATGCCAGACTGCTAATATTTGAAATAAAAGTTTTAGCTACAATATCAAATTTTCTTTCTTTCTCTTTTTTTTTTTTGCAGAATGAGGAGGGTTAACTTACAGACCACCAGAATATGAATGGGATGAATCTGTTCTGCTGTTGGGACAGGGCAGTACAGACTTCACGGCCCATTTCTAGCACATAAATGCTCTTTTGCTGTGCACTGAAGACGTGGAGGGGTGAACCACACCAACATCTACCATGTTGTCACAATTAATAGGTTTGTACTCTGGCCTCTGGACATTCAAATGAATGGTTCAATAGAAAGATAGCCATGTATGCTGCTCTGAGCTAAAAAAAAAAAAGAGGAAAGCTGGGCTAGAGATGTAATTGAAATTATAACCCAAATCATCTTGTATAGTTGTGTAACACTAAGAGTGTGGTCTTTGGAGAGGAATTGTGCCAGACTGAGAAATCACTGCTGGCTCTGTCTATTTGTTGCGCATTGAGTTTATCACAGCTTTTCGTCCGCACATTATGGGAGCTATCCATGGTAGTGTACTCTGTTCCCAGAAAATGGTCGACACACCTTGGATAGCTGTTGTCAAGTTCCAGCTACAATTCAGAGCACATTCACCACCCTTTGCCACATCAGAGTCCCAGCACCACTGGTCTGGAATCACTTCCTTCCTCCAAAAAGACTTTATTTAATTTATTTATTTATTAAATTTATACCCCGCCCATCTAGACCGAAGTTTATTCTGGGCAGCTAACAATAATGGATAAAATAAAAATGATATAATAAAATAAAATGATATAATAAAATAAAAAAACATTAATAAAGCAGTTCAAGATGGGAAAAATAATATTCAAGTGATGACAGGTCTTAAGTTTGCTCTTGAAAACACTCAGCGAGGGAGTTAGTGGCAAAATCAAGGATGATGCAAGATGTTTTGCTGACTGAGGCAAAAGAGTAGAGGACATCCTTCTGTCTCATTATACTGGATATCCAGAAGCCAACCAGATGTTTGACTTTTATTTCAGCATTTTTTAAAATCCTCAAATTATTTATATTGCATTTATGAAGAAATTTGCAAATGTTGGAACGTTCTTAGGAAAAAAACCCTACCTACCTACCTACCTACCTACCTCCCTACCTCCCTACCTACCTACCTACCTACCTACCTCCCTACCTCCCTACCTACCTACCTACCTACCTACCTCCCTACCTCCCTACCTACCTACCTACCTACCTACCTACCTACCTACCTACCTACCTACCTACCTACCTACCAGCTAGCAGCCAGGCCACTGCTCTGGGGAGCTTAGAATATCACTACATCAACGTAAAATAAAACTACGTATAATAATAATCAAACAAAGAAAAAACGAATCTACTTCTATAAAAATAACTAATACAAAAGATGGTGGCAAGATACAGACAATTAATGAAGTATCGATAATCAAAACCAAAATTAATCTGGGGTAAGGCTGTGGAAGGCCTGTGTAAAGACATACCTCTTCACTTCTTTACTAAATGAAGTGTATTTTCCTTTTGTGAAGTTAAGAACCTGTGCTCGCATGCACATTAAGGGCAGAGCAAGGGCCTGATTGATTAAAAGAAGATGCAAGGAACCCACCCACTGCTTCTAATTTGAAAAACATCTGTGGAACAATGCAGCAGCTACGGTTGTTTAGCTACACTATTTGTGCCAAAATTGTTCCTCCAAATTCAAGGGCAGCCCAACCAGAGTGATAGAACGTATCTCATTGTATTGCAAGAAAGAAGTAAAATCCCGGGTTTCCTCTTCTGACAGAAGAAACTTAAGTTGAAAAAAAAGGAAACCATGTGGTCAATACTAAAAGCAAGTGCAAGAGTAGAGGTAGTACCTTTATAGGTGGTATTCTATCCACGGAATCTTGTGTATTGTGCAATGATTTTTAGTGGTCTATAACGGCATCGCCTACTCTTGCATTTGCAAAAAATAAATTAAGGACATACACCCTGAGACTTGGGTAGGGTTTACTTATTTGAGAAAGGCTAAAATGGGTGCTAAACACAATCCTTCTTACAAAACGAGAAGAGATTCATATTGAATTGACATTTCTTACAGGACTCTGCTATAAATAACCTCAAGAGACAGGCCATTAATTAGCCTCCCTTGGCTTAATTAAAATGCCATATATCTCTCTGTGCAGCATGCAGGATCACCCAAGCAACAGCGACCACTAGGACAGCTGTGAAGCCGCGTCCTTCCCCTGTGATCTCCAGCCGCTGGCTGTGGATTTTAAAAAGCCCAAAGTGCCAGCTACCTAATTTTTTAGCAGCTGCAGATATTTCCTCCCTGCCCTCCAATGGAAGGGAACGAAAAAAATAAATCACTTTACAGAGTTTACTTTTAAAAGGGAAAGGGATAAAGTAAATCCTTCTCCTGAGAGGATAAAGATAAAAACCTATTCCGCAGTCCATAAATCTGGAGAAGAGCAGGGAAGGGTCGGGAGACGAGACGGCAGCTTCAACAAGGGCCGGATTTAAAAAAAGGGGTATGCTGGAAATAGGATTAAATTGTAATTTTTGATTAAAAAGGCTTTGCAAAGGCTAGGGGGTATTTTTGCTTGAACTGACTAGAGATTTGCAGCACCTGTAAATAAGCAGAAAGATGAGCTGTACCACCAAAGGGACTTTAATGCAGCATCGCAAGGACACAGAGCAAGCCAGCTGGCTGCTATCAGATTCATTCCCCTCCTGCCCCAGGAAAGCCCGGCCGCACTCTCTGCAAGCAAACCAGCACTGGGAGAAGTTACCTTTGGGGACTACAGCTCCCAGCATCCCTACCACAGGGGGATGCGGGTTCTTGTAGTCTCCAAAAGTAACATTTCCAAGGTCTGATGAGCATGTTGGCTAGAGTCTTCTGGGAACTGTTGTTCAAAAAAGTAATGGATCATAGATGCTGGTGGATTACAACTCCTGACATCTCATACTTTTTGCCCGATGGGCTGGGACTTGTAAAAGTCAACATCTAGCTTCCTACGTGGAGAAGCAGGTGTTCCCCATCTCTCTGGCAGCCGCCAGGCCAAGCTAAGCCGATTTTGCTGTCAATTTCATGGCACCTGTGCATTTTCCTGGGGCTGCAGATTCCACTGTGCACAACTGGAATATGGTTCATGATTCCTTCAAAGGGCAAATTCAGGCAGCAGCAGCCCATAGGGAATTTAAAAGATGGTGATCTGTAAGCTGTAACATTCATCTTCCTACTTTCTGGGGCTGAATTTGCAGTGAATGCTCTTGCAGCATACATGACAGAAGCCCTAGGTAGAGGTTCCCCTTGACTTTTAGTCCAGATGTGTCTGACTCCAGGGTGCGGTGCTCATCCCCGTTTCCAAGCCGTAGAGCCAGCGTTTGTCCAAAGTCTGTTTCTGTGCTCACATGGCCAGTTGACTAGATATGTAACGCTATGACCTTCCAACCGAGTTGGTACCTATTTATCTACTCGCATTTTTACGTGCTTTCGAACGGCTAGGTTGGCAGGAGCTGGGACGAGCGACGGGCGCTCACTCTGTTGCGTGGATCCGATCTTATGACTACTGATGTTCTGACCTTGCAGCACAGAGGCTTCTGCGGTTTAACCCACACCATCACCACGTCCCTTGTGACAGAAGCCCTACTGTGGTTCAAAAACAGCACCCATCTGCAATTTTTCAAAACTGCCTTAGGGCTTCCATCACCATCCAGCCAGGCCTGGGAGGCTACCCAGCTATTGACTGTGTCAGGGTTGGGGCAGCAGAGTCCTCCACCTGTTCGATATGGGGGCAAAATTGTCTTTTTAAATTATTGTCTTTTAAAATTTTGTTAAAAATTATTTAATTTATTTAATCCTTGATTTTTAGTATTTTAAAGATCTTCTAGTGGAGTGCCAATAACAGGATTTAAAGCTTGCATGGTGTATCTGCCTGTTCTGACTTATCCCCAGGTACTTGTAAGTGGAATTACTATCAAGTGTAAGTAAATACATCATTGTTTACCAGGTGTTCCTGTTGAGACTTCGAAAGAGTGTATTTTTAGCAAAGTACATAAACTTTGGAAGATGAAGTACGTAGCCTATTATTGCTCCACTGCTCACTCCCAGTTCCAGTGTCCTAGTTAATGAACTTGCCTGGCAAAATTAATGTCTCTTCCTCAGTTGCGTCCTACTCGAAAAAGCTTCACCGAATGTATTTGTGATGGTGGCTACAGTCTGGTTTCAGTGTTTGCATGGATGTGTGAAGGGCATGTGGGTGGAGGGATGGAGCTGTGCGGGACTCCTTGGAAGGATGTCATGTTCACAATTTTTCTTATTCTGGATAAAAAAAAGGATGTCCTAAAAAGCCGAGGCACCCAATGAAAGAAATGGCCAACTAATATGAGATTTTTGTTTGCTTCTCTGTGGGAACCAAAAACATGGAAAACAAAGAAAAAACCCAACGCAAAACCAAAACAGCTCCTTTATCAACAGCAGCAGAAGCAACAATAACAACAACAAAAAGTATTTTGCACTCAACACCGTGCATTTTGTGGGAAACCGTTGTATTGGGTTAATCTTGCACTTTCTGCCAAGTGTTCTTGGACAAAATACATTTGGGTGCATATAAAACAATTGCCTCTACAAATTTTTCACCAAAAAAAGTCCCCGAAAGAAATGGAAAAGAGGGACAACTCTGGGAATCTTGGCTAGACATGAAAAAACCTTTGAACATTTTTATTCTCACCTGTGGTATCGACATAAGCAAAACCCCATCTCCCACCTCCTTGCTTCCACCCAACCTCATGCTTGTGGACTCCAAACTTGCCGTGTTGGAAAGGGAGGTCTTGAGGGGTGTCCTGCCCACATTTCTTTGAAAGCCAAAGGAAGACCTTTATCAGGATGTGGGAAGGGGGACTGGTTCTATGCTCTACCCCTGCATCTTCTTATAGCCTCACATTCAGGCAATTTTTCTTTCTTGCCTGCGGGTAGGATCAAAGGCTTCATCCAAAGCCAATGTGGACTGCTACCGCTTCTTGCTTTAGTGAAGAATCAACGCTCCTGGAAATTTTCAGGACTGCTAATTCTCCACCTGGGCAAGAATTAAATAAATACATGAAAATAAATCCAACAAGCCGTTGGATCCATGGGGGACCATGGGTAAGTCCATGGTGTGGCAAAAGAGATAGAAGGTTGCATGAAATACATGGGCAATGTGTTGTCCAGCTGCTCATTCCTGGTGAAATGTCCAGAAGACTGCACTTAGACCAAGGGTGGACAAAGCGCAGCCTTCTGGATGCTGGACTGCACGTTGATGAGAGTTGAAATCCAAGAAATGTACTGAAAGCCGTACATTTGGTAGGGGAAATTACTGAGCCATCGGAAAGGAGAGAACTTACCGCACAGCTCCTTAGTATCCACGTTGCTTTAAAGGAAAAGGAAAAGAAAGAAATGAAAGAATTAGAATACCAGAGATTAGAAAAGGGGAGGAGAAAGCTGAAATTTAACTGTGGGAGATTCAGAACAAGCTGAACAGAAAAAGATCATTGAAAAGCATTTTTAATAGCTCTCACGAAAGCAGTCACAAGCTGTGCTTCTTTCAGATCAAGCACCCTTATACTTGATGTAAATAGATACACTAAATTACAGTATGAGAACAGTCTACTGTGTTGTGTTTTGTTAAGAAAGAAATGCAAAAGTAACCAATTACATAGTACAACTACTCAGAAGCAAGATGATGGTTGGTGCAAATAGCGTTGGGCCTATGAACAGCACTTCAAAGCAGAGCTTGGCATTGTTAATTTTTTTGGATTACAACTCCCAGCATCCCCAAACCAGCTGTGGGAACTGACCCAGTCTTTCCTGAAGTTTATGAAATCAGCTTACTCACATTCTTAGAGTCTCTGTGTCAGACCCAGCTTTCCCCTTTCTTCTATATAGCAAACTCAGGACATGGAACTGATGGATAGCACAGTGATTTCGGTCTCTGGCTGTGGAGCCAGAGGTTGGGAGTTCGATTCCCCCCCCCGGGGTCTCCTGTGAATAGAACCATTTTTGGACAAGCTGCACAGTCCCAGGGTCTCCCCCAGAAGAAGGGCATAGTAAACCACTTCTGAGTACTCTTTACCTGGAAAATCCATAGCATCATAGAACTGGGAAGGTTTAATGTTTTTTAATATTTTTTTCATGTGTTTTAAAATGCTATTAGATTTCTTAAAATGCCTTTATATGATGGTTTCAGTGTTTCCATGTTTAATAACAATCTAATTGCTTTGTATATGTTGTTTTAATTGTTTTCTCTGGAAACAATTTGTGAGCCGCCTTAAGTTCCATTGCCAGAAGAAGGGCAGCCTGGAAGTGCAGTGTATGTATGTATGTATGTATGAATGAATGAATGAATGAATGAATGAATGAATGAATGAATGAATGAATGAATGAATCTCTGCATAGGAAGCCCCATAGCACTAAACTCTACTGTCCTGAACAAATGAAGCATCCTGTCAGGAAGAAGAAAAAGCCAGGAGATGAAAGACAAATCTAGGATCAGGTTTTCCATCACCTGGATTCTGGGAAAAATATAGAAACCATGCACGATGAACTCGGTGTGTTTATAGGACCAAAGGATCCATCTAGACAAGCCCTTAGTTGTTAGAATTGGGCCATTGGCCTCCTGGTTCAGCTAGCTGTAGTCATACCTAAGTAGTAGGTCTAGACTAGTGTCTCCCAACACAGGCTCTCCAGATGTTCTTGGACTACAACTCCCAGAAATCCCGGCCAGCACAGCTAGTGGTGAAGGCTAGTGGGGGTTGGAGTCCAAGAACATCTGGAGATCCAAGGCTGGGAACCACTGGTCTAGACAGAAGATAAAGATGAGAAAATTTATGACCTAGAGGGAAGTTACAGTTTAAAGGATCGGCGACCAGGAAGAGACTCAACTCCAGCAGTACCAGGACAAATCTGGAGCAGCAACAAGAGTTAGGAGCTGCCAGCAAGCTTGTTTAACTCATGGCGGTCAATTAATAGAAGTCCTGGGCTCTGAGTCAAAACACCATTCGAAACACCAGTTTCAAATGGCATTCGATTCCATTTGGTGATTGGGATAGATATTCTGTCCACCCCAAAAGGACCATCTCCAGAGGAGAGAAGCTTCAATGAAACTTCCAGTCTAGAGATTCAGTTGACTTGGATATCTCCTTTTTCAAACAGAATTGACTATATATCTCAAAATGAGGCCAGCAAACCACATTCCCTCCTGCTGGATTTTGGATACACAGCGGTTTCTTATCAGCTAGGCAAGCTGAGCAAGCCAGTCGAGGCTCACTTGCTTTCGAATCATCTTCTGATATTTTTCATGCCGTTTTCATCCTGATAAGTCTTCCCCGCCTGCGTGTGATTGACAGCTCTCTCTTGCTGTATAACACTTGAACTAGAGGTCAATTTAAGGGGGGGGGAACCTCAACTAAAAGCTATGCTATTTTATAATCCCTGTCCTGAGCCTGGTTTACTTGCTGAAGTGCTAAAAAAATTTGGCAGGTCCACTGAGAGTTAATTTCCATGAGCTTCTTTTATTCTCTCTTATAAATGACATTGAAAGGGTCATTGTGATGATGCAAACCCTTCTAAACCTCAGCTGGCTCGCTGTTGTCAAGAGGAGTTCAAAGCACTTCCAGAAGCAAGCAAATACTTAATCAGAATCCCAATGTAATTTACAAGGGGGTCAAAAATGTACACCAGCACAAGGCAGAATGCTACATTTCAAACAGCAGAAGGAATTCCAGCTGAATACAGTAAAAGTGGAGTCTCTTTATAAACTTCAAAGACTGCCACGCGTTCATTAACTGAATATTCGTTTAGGGAAAGTCACTTGTTTCTGGAGAGATTAGGGGTGGACGGTGTTTGCGTGCATGACAAGGTGACCAAAGCATAGACTCTTCTTGTATCCCCACTGGTCACTATAATGAATGTTAATTAACATTTTATAAATTTTATATGAGATACCCTTTGGAAGCATTTGAGCCAAAATTGAGAGCCCTTTTATTTCATTAACAGCTTTGTTAGCATGTGTTTTTTTTTCACCTGGAGTAAAGTGATTTGTTTGGAGAAATTGATAACAGGATGGGACAAGCGGTTATAATACAGCTGTTTAAATTTAACCTGAAGTAATAAGGATGGCAGCAAGAAAACACTGCTGCAGAGTTTTGAATTTTTGGTTAAATTTCTCTAGCTTCCCAGCTGAAGTGCAGAGATTGAAATGGCAGAATACTTACAAGGTCCCCTGAGTAGACCATCCCTTTCTCTGGCACTTAACAGTCTCAGTAACTCACTTTGAGACATTAGTAAGAGAAATAATATAAAACATTTTCTTTGCTTGCACTTTAACAGATCAAACAGCAAACTGACAGATATGACTGTTTTAAACAACAGACTTTATCACACTCACTGCTTTATCACACAGACTACTGAGAGGGAAAAAGACACAGACCAGAGAGGCGGGGCTCTCTTTGAATTCAGAGGCAGGGAAGGAACTATTGGTTAGTGCTGGATAGATTGACAGGCACCCCAGCAAATGTTGCCCTCACTCTCACTTGGCTTCAGACATACAGTAATCATAGAGTGAAGAAGACATCTCATTGGCTGCCTTTCAGGGAGCTCAAGCAGAGGGAGGACAGAAAGCATAGCCGTCTGATGATGAAAAGGAGGATCAAGGCACACATCTTCATAAACAAGTGTGATAATCACCATATCCAGGGTACGAACAGACACTAGCTTGGTGAGCAGTTGATTTCAGAAGATCATTTACTCTCTTCCAAAGTCTCTGTGTCAGTTGCAAAGTTTTGGCTCAATGCTCAGTTGAGGGCTGAGAAAGAGACCAGGCAGAGCCTGCCTTGGGAGAGAAATATCTTTTACCCTCTCTGGGGAAAGGCAGGTAAAGCCAATTTCACCCGGGCAATGGCTGATGTCTGTCCTGTCAAAGGCCATGTGCCTCCTTCTCATTACCTTCTTTGAAGGACTTCCAGGAGCAAGGGTAGCTGTGCGTGTGTCTACCACAGCAAAAGCGTCTAATGTTACCTTGAAGACAAAGTAAGTTGTGCACGGAATGAGCTAAAGCTGACGCCAAGGAAAACCTCTTACTTCCAGAGGTGCCCAAAATCTTTTGCTGTTGTTTAGATTTAAGAAGTTCCTCCTTTAGTGCGGCTATCGTCCCTTGCACTTTTTAGGTTTCTAATACCTCTCTCTCCACTTTCCCAATCAGCCCCATTTTTGCTGGCACCCGGCGTCTGAGTCTGCAATTAGGAGTGATTCATGTGACGTAGTGAAAATGCCATCGCGAACCATAAAGCCCGTTTAGTTCGTTTATGGCTTGCATCGTTGCTGCTGCCGATAACATTTCTACTCCCACTAACAATCTTTTACATTTTTTTAAAATGGGCTACCACCTTGAACACTACTTTTAAGCACTTCTATACTTGGTATGCAAACAATTAAGTTGTGGGGCCATTGCTCAAATGTTAAGCCCACCAGAGAAAGGACCAGCAATGTCCCACAAGCTGGCTTTTAAAAACCACATCATGGAACATAATTCTATAGTAAAAGTGCTTTGATACAGGGCAAACAATGGAAACTGGATGTTTATATTCGCGTAGCACTCAGCTTCCATGCCTACAAATGTACCTTCCATATAATTAGGTCTTTTTGTAACACATTTAATAATACAGAGTAGCTCCTGGCCTAATGAGTTGTCCTGCCCATTATTTCAAAGTGAGCTCTACAATCACTCTATGAACTACTTACTGTATCACTAAGTAGTCATTTGTCGAAATCATAGCCATGACTTAATGAGGAGAATGAATGAAAAGGGTTAGGAAGCTGAACTAGCATTTTATAAAAACACCATGGCTGAAATCCAGTAGTGAGTTGCAACTAGAGTAAGCCCATTGAATTTGTAGGGATTTATCAATCCAAGGGACGTGGTGGTGCTGCAGGTTAAACCGCAGAAGCCTCTGTGCTGCGAGGTCAGAAGACCAGCTGTCGTAAGATCGAATACACGTGACGGAGTGAGCTCCCGCCGCTTGTTCCAGCTCCTGCCAACCTAGCCATTTGAAAGCATGCAAAAATCCGAGTAGATGAATAGCTACCAGCAGTCACGGCGTTCCGTGTCTAGTCGCGCTGGCCACGTGGCCACGGAAACTGTCTTCAGACCAATGCTGGCTCTATGGATTGGAGACAGAGATGAGCACCACACCCTAGAGTCAGACACGACTGGACGAAATGTCAAGGGAAACCTTTACCTTTTACCTATCAGTCCATGAGGATTCATTGAGTCAGCTCCTCTTAAGTGAACTCAAGTTCACTTTAATAAATTCTTCAAGAAGCAAATGGAAATGGGAACCTCATCTAGCAAAATTCACTGGCAAAATTCAAAGG